AGGTAGGGCCCAGGAGGACAGGGGGCCCCCACGATGGGATTCGTGTCCCTGTAAGACAAGGAAGAGATGATCTCTCTCTCTCTTTCTCTGCCCCGTGAGCACACGGCAAGAAGGCAGCCGTCTTGCAAGCCAGGAAGGCAGCCTGATCGGAGACTTCCAGCCCCAGAGCTGTGAGAAAGTTTCTGTTGTCCGGGCCACCCAGTCTGTGGCATTTTGTTACGGCAGCCCACGCTGAGATGGCGTGTCCACATAAAACCTTGGACACGAGGGCTCACAGCAGCATCATTCACAATAGCCCCAAAGTGGAAACCACCCAAATGTTCACCGATTAGTGAACGCATAAAGAAATGTAGGGGCACCCAGGGCGGCGCAGTCGGTTAAGCGCCAGACTTCGGCTCAGGTCATGGTCTCGCCGTTCAAGTTAGAGCCCCCAAATCGGGCTCTCTGCTGTCAGCGCAGAGCCTGCCTCGGAGCCTCCGTTGCCCTCTCTCTCTGCCCTTCCTCCGCTCGCATGCTCTCTCGCTCTATCTCTCAAAAATAAATAAAATATTAAAAAAAAAAAAAAAAGGAATGTCCATCCAATGGTATTTATGTGGCCGTGAGGGGACGGATAAAGACATGCTGGCCAGCAGCCTAGTGGGGAAGCACAATTGCAAATGCCCGGAGCCCATGTGCTGAGAGCTGGGGGGACGGGGGAGCTGAGAGGAGGAGGAGGAAGAGGCAGGTGAAGGGGAGGAAGGCAGGGCAATTGGCTGGGTCACCCGGATGAGAGACTGAGGGGGAGGGGGACAGGAGGCAGTCAGGAGGTAGGAGACAAGGACCAGCGGGGAGGGGAAGGGGACTGGTAAGTGGAGGGCGAGGCCCAGAAGCAGGGAGAAGGGCTGCTTTCAGAGTTTTGCTGCAGGCAGGTGGCTCTCAGGGTGTCTGGGAGCCATCCGCGCGGGCGGCCGTTTGCACTTGGAACTCAGGGGAGAGGGGTCCAGGCTGGTGAGAGATTTTTGGGTGACCCACGTGCGGGCCTGGTGACTGAGTCCCCAGAAAGGAATGGATGAGGGCCCTTAGGGAGGGTGGAGGGGAGAGAGCAATGGGCTGACGGCACCCCCCCCCCGCCAAGGGGGCATCGCTGTTTCCAGGTGGGCAGAGACCCACGAGGCGGCAGGCGGAGGAGCGGTGTGCTTCGTGGGGGGACAACAGGCACTTCACGTGTCCACTTGCATGAGGACTGGGCATTGTCCACTGGGCTTGGCAACCAGGCGGGCACTGTTTTTTTCTGGGGCAGCTTCGGGGGCAGATGCCCAGCTATAGCAGGATCTGGAGCATCTGCTCAGAGGGTGCAGGCTGGGGAGAGAGCCCTCAGTGACAGCCCTTATCAGCGGTGCTACTGTCCCTTATTTTTAGGTCTGTCTCCCAACCAGCTGGTGCTTCAAGAGGGCAGCTACTATTTTTATGTATCTTTCTTTGTGTCTCCAGACACAATCCAATTCGTTCCAAATATATTCAGGGAGCACCTGCCGTGCTCCCGTGCCCTGTGCGGGGTGTTGAGGATTTATGGCGGAGCCCACACTTGAAGCTCCAGGCAGGGCTCTGTCACCAAGCTGCCATGTGACCTCAGGTGAGTTAGGACATCGTCTCTCTAGGAGGTTCCTCATTGGCAGTGGGTGATTTCTGAAGCTCCTCCCGGTGACTGATTCTGGAAATTCTCTGCCTGCTGCTACCTTGTCTGCTCACCAAGGCGTCGACAGGGTCAGGAGCCTGGGGTGGGGTGAGGACGGTCAGGGGAGCGGATGCTTCCCAAGACCTCCCTGCCCAAGGGTCCTCCTGCCACAGCCCCTTCCCCACCCCCCCCCACCCCTGCCCCGTTCACAGGCACACCCTGTCTCCTGCCTGCCTTTCCTGCGTCACCTCTCAAACATGCTCACTGGTTGTATGGGCTCTAGTCACAATGGTCTTTTCAGATTTTTTAAAAGTTTATTTATTTGGGGGGGGGGGCAGAGAGAAAGGGAGAGAGAGAGAATCCCAAGTAGGATCCGTGCTGTCAGCACAGAGCCTGACGTGGGGCTCAAACCCACCAACCGGGAGATTCTGACCTGAGCTGAAGTCAAGACGCTTAACTGACTGAGCCACCCAGGCACCCCGTCTTTTCAGATTTTGTTCTCTCCACAAGCCTTCTTGCCTCAGAGCCTTTGCACATGCTGTTCCTCTGGCTGGACACCCTTCCCTTAAGTCCTCATCTTGTTGACGTCTCTTGATTCTTTAGTGCTTAGCTCAAATGGGGCTTCTGCAGAAGCATCTCGGGCTCCTGAGGGACAGCCACTCCCGAGTGACACGCCTTTAGGGCACCCTGCGTTTTTTCTTAGCTTTTGTACACAATAATGTAACCACGTAATCAGTTGTTTAACCTCTGTTTAGTTCTGTCATTAGGCCTGGGTGAGAGGAATCCTTGCCCGGCTGTGGATCCTCCTCTTTAGAAGGTTCTACTCTTGACCCCCTTTCTGTCTCCCCACAGGATGAGGAATCTGTGGGACCCCTTGGAGCCCAGGCCCTTCCCATTGGACCCTGCTCCCGATATGCAAGACCCCAGAATTCCCTGCCCGAGTGGCCCCAGGCCCATTCCCTTAAGGGTGGACCATGCGGGTGGCCACAGGACAGCAGGAGCCAGCTCTTCTCGTGCCAACACACCTGGGCACAGAACTCAGAAGAGTCACAGAAGTTTACATTGGAACCTGGTCATTAGGTCATTACGAACGTGTATTTACCAAAGTAGGAGAATAGAACATATTTTTATTTAACAGTTATATCTTGATTTGTAACTTTACAATATTTCGATGCATGGGGTGAGGCCTCCGTTTGTACTCTTTTCCCGGCCCTGCTGGCATGTGAGGTGGGCTCGGGTCGGCCACCGGGCCAGGTGCTCCACCAGAGCGGTGGCATGGGTGGCACCCCCCACCCCAGCGCACAGTGCCCGGCGCGGAGGAGCAGACAATAAATATTGGCTGTGAGAAACTGAGACGATCCGGGTGAAATGCTTGGCGTGGTGCAAATGTCAATAAATATCAGTTCCTATTGTTTGTCGAAGAAATGAACCGTAGCTGGGGAGGGGGGTGGAGGGTGGGGCGAGACCCACAAACTGAGGTGGTTTGTGTATGAGGAGGGAGAGGGCATTGCTGCCCCTGGGGCTCACGCTCCCTTTCCAGAGGCTGTACCCCCCTTCCCCCAACCCTGCAGGCCTCTCCCAGCTCTTTAGGACCAGGTGGGCGCCAGGCAGGCGTGCCGGGCGGCCAGGGCGCTGAGAGGGGCTGGGGACCCCTTGCCAGTGCTAATTCCCCCTCCCCCAGCTGGGGCGGATTTCCCCTCTGCCCTGAGGGTCTCCCAAGGCCCAGACAGAACCTACCTTCATTTCTTTTGCTTTCCCCGTAAGCCCACGATGGGGTTTGGAGGAGAGGGATAGCTTGGAGGAAAGGGCCTCCTGGGAGGCTGTGCTGTGCTACGAGAGGAGCCTGAGCTGGGCAGTCCGACCCATCACCCCCACGGGACCCTGAACAAGTCACTTTGCCTCTGCCTCGGTTTCTTCATTTGTACAACGGGACTGTGTGTGGAAACGGTGCATGGCAGGTGGCCAGCTCAGGGTATGCGCTTAGCGAATATGGAGAACCCTTGCTCAGAACACGAGTGGATCAGGGAGGGCAGAGGCCTGGATCAGGGAAGCAGATGAAAATGGCCCACAGTCAGCCACTGAGAGTCAGGCAGGAGCTGCGCCTGAGGCAAGGCAGGGCAGCAGGGAAGGAAGGAAGGTGTATGTTGCTGCTTCATGACCCACACAGGGCCGGGGCCCCACAGGGAGGGCGTCCTTGAAGCCCTGACCAGGTGCAGGCCTGAAAAAGCTGAGAAGCCCCTCACCCCAAGTCCTCCCCTGGGGCATGGCCCATCTGGGAAATCAAACTCACCCCCACAATTCTCTGTCTCTCTCTCTCTCTCTCTCTCTCTCTCTCTCACACA